TGGCTCGCTGAGTACGACAAGTCCGGTCGGCAAGTAACGGATGCGAAGAGTAAGCATCCAAGTTTCCGCTGGTAGTCGCGTAGTCCGGCAGGTCCGAGCGAATTAGAATTTTCCTGGTGATTTCCGGCGGTGTAGGGATAGGGCGTGGATATGGCGGCTGGCGATTATCCAAAGCGTTTGACAATTGTATCGGCGTATTTTGCGGCGCTGAGGTAGATCGCGTTCTCTCCGTCGAGTATGTTGACTCCTAGGTACTGAGTTACAGTGGAAGAGACTGTGAGAGAGAGATGTATTCGGCTTCTTTCTTGAGTCAGTACATGCCCTGGTCGTGTGGTAGTTGTTGAAAGCCATTGCGGATTAATCGGGCGTGTAGGTACTGCTGCCACAGCCGCGGAGCTTGCTTGATGCCGTACAAGGACTTCAGCAGCTGACAGACTTGATTAGGGTCTGTGTCGGATCCGTGTGGTTGCTCGACGAAGATTTCAGCGTCGACGGGAGCGTAGAGAAATGCGTTAGCTACGTTGATTTGGCGGAGCTTCTTCTGCTTCATGGCGGCTATCGCGAGGAGGATTCACAAAGAGGTATGTCGGCTGACTTGTGCGAAAGTATCTGTGAAGTCTCGTCCATGCTCTTGGTCGAAGCCACGTACGACCCGTCATGCTTTGAATTTGTCAATTGTCCCGTCAGCTTTCGTTTTCACGCGGAAGACCCATTTTCCCGTGAGAATGGTTTTGTTGCGTGCCACTCCGATGGGTACTATCTTCCAGGTGTTTTTGTCTTCCAGCACTTTTAACTCCCTGTCCATGGCTTCACGCAATTTTTCCCTGTGTTTCCCCCCCAGAGCCTGCTGAACCGTAGCTGGCTCTCGCGGCATTGATGCGCCATGGACTGCAGTGACGAGCCCAAGAATCTGCAGGCCACTCTGTGTGTAGCGGGGAAGATTTGGGTCCTCGGGATAAACTGCTTCGTCTCCCGCTTTTGGATCAGGTGAGAAGTTGGGGCCTATGCGTTCTGAAACGTTCGTGTTGACCGGCCGGGGTGTAACGTAACCATTGTCGGTGAAGTTGTAGTAGACTTCGGCGTTGATGCTTTCGCAAGGGTTTTCGTCGTCCATCGGAACGGGTACCGAACAGTAGGGAAGAGGTCCGGCTTCCTCCGATGCTCCGTCCACGTTTTGTTCATCGCAGTCAGCCTCATCTGCTGGCGAGGCAAAGGCTTGGTTGCCACGGGAGCCGCCCGTGAGGTCTCGTTCTGCTGCCAAGTTGTCCAGGTACGTTTGGAGAGTGAGTCGTTCGTGGAAAATCACGTCACGTGCTGCTACTGTTTCCTTCGAGTGGACGTCGAAAATCTTCCACGCGTTGTAATGTTTTTTTATGCCCAGGTGTAATCCCCACTGTACGCGTTGTGAGAATCGTCCGGCTCATGTAGTGTGGGGTCGGTACTCTACCATGCACCAAAAACTCGTAACATTTTTGTGTTGCCCAATTTTCCTGTTCACAGCAGATGCGGTGATGCGTTGTTCGGAAGTTGTGTAATAGCACAGCGTGGTCCATCGCCTCAAGCCATTGATGGTTGGGTAGTCGCATGCTACATAGCAGCTTGCGCATGGTGTTCTAGAGGGTCCTGCTCATCCTTTCTGCCATGCCTTGCTGTTGATGAGCGTAAGGAAGAGAGATGAGTCTCTTGATGCCTCTCTCCTCCAGGTATTGCTTGAAGCACTGTGATTGATATTCTCCTCCCCCGTCTGACTGGAAACTTTTCAGCTTCACTCCTGATTCTCTCTCTGCTACAGGGAGCCAAGCGACAAAGGCTTCGAAGGCCATGTCGCGACTCGGAAGATTGAGGTGCCAGACGTATCTGGTGGCAGCGTCGATGAACGTGATTACGTAGTTGTATGCTCCCTGTCCGCTTCTGCGGGTGTTTAGTATGTTGCTGTAGACCTTCTCCAGTGGTGCATATGCTGGTGTGCTTGGGTTTTTGTGAGATAAGAACGGCTGATGAGGTAAGTCGGCTTCAGGACAGGTAAAGCAGGTTCCGCAGACTCGTTGAAGTTCTTTGCCGTCGGGTAAGAGTAGTGAATCCTTGTCGAGAACTCCTGATCTTATCGTGTTGTTCAGTGTCGTGTTGCCGGGATGTCCTGGCCTTAGATGCCACAATGATTCGTCGGCGTGATGTCCAGGTGAACGTCTGTACAAGTCGGATTTGGAGTAGAAACTTGCAGTGGCGTTAGCACTTCTGTGGATGTCTCGTGGAGCGGGAGTTAGTTGTTGAGCGAGAGTCGGTGTTGATGAAGAGCTGGCGATTGGTGCTGGTGCTGTTGTTGTTGCTTTTGCTTCTGTTGATGTTGCTGCTTCTGCTGTTGTCTCTGCTGTTGCCGATGTTGTTGCTGCTGCTGTTGTCTGTTGAATTACTGCTAACGCCCTTGTCCGTTCTGCTTCAGGTATAGTGCGTGAGTACCAGAAGCCTCCGGGGCTAAAGTCTGAGTCGAGATCTGGTGGGTGCGACCAAGTGGTGAAGTTGACAATCGCGCCGCTGTCAGCAGTTCCTTGATCTGGGACAAAGTCGAGAACGAAGATGTTGTTCTTCAGGACTGCTTTCCCGATGTAAAGTCCGCCCCTCCCGTTGTACAGTTTAAATTCTTGAGTGGTGCTGTCGGCTTCAAGATGAATCCCTTTTGCCATGAGCTGGCTGGCGCTTAGCAAGTTGTAGCCCAGTCCTTCTGCAATCAAAACCTTCAACATCTGCAAAACGACGTTAGTTTTGCGGGACTGAAGTTGAAATACTCCTTGTCGTTCTGGTTGTTGGCGACGGTGATCACGACTTCCCGGTTGAGATGCTGTTCCCTTTGAGCGAAGCGATTTGACGAGCACATGTGTTGTCCGCAGCAGCTGTCCAAGAACCAAGTATCTTTATCGGATGGTTCGCTCTGTGCGATAGCTGTGTATTTCGGGTTTGGCTCATCTTTATCGGATGGTTCGCTCTGTGCGATAGCTGTGTATTTCGGGTTTGGCTCCAGTGATTTCCAACGAGGTGTGCTTTCGTCGAGCAATTCTTCTGGTGAGTAGGACGGTGGTGAACTGGTGATGCAGGAGTCCGTTCTTTTCATACAGCTTATGATGTTTCTTGTTCCTCGTGTAGGTTGTGACGTTGTCGTTGAAGGCGGTGCCTGATTGGAAGGATGCTGCTGTGTGGAAGTCACTTGATTGCTTGATGGTCGAAGCTGACGTGATGATGGTGTCGATTGCTGCTGATTTGGGCAGTGAATACGAGAGTGTCCTGACGTTCGGCAAAGATGACAGAACGGTGGTACGTATCTTTGTGCTTGGTGCTCTTGTTGTCAGTTGTTGTTGTTGTTGCGTCGCTGAGTGTGAAAGGCGAACTCCGGTACTGATCCTCTTTTCTTTTGTCATTCTTCATGCAGGTCCATGTCTTGTTGTTCGGCGTGAATTTCGGTGCAGAGATTTGCTTCGGAGATTCTTCCGTGGGCTCGGAGAATGGCTCGAGTGGAGCGCCACTGAGGACCGAGACCTGTGATGACAACAGTGACGAACGCTTCTTCGAATATTGATCCGCCGCGTCGAAGGATTCTATCGCGTAGACCGCGACAGCAACAGATATATGCCATTCCCTTTTCGCCATGTCGCGTTTGGACCGTTGTTAATTGCGCCATGAGACGACTTTGATTAATGCTGTCGGTTCCTTGATACAGGTTCTTCAGGTGGTTGTACGCGAGCTCAGCGGAGTTTCCGTATCCGCGATAAGACCGGATGTTCTGCTGCTCGTTTGCTGTTATGTTTCGCAGAAGTATGGTGTACGCCATCAGTGACTGGTACGTGTACTATTGCTTGTCGTACTGTGTCCCATGCGTTGGATATGGCAGGGAGCCGTCGAAGAAGCCAAGAATTTGAGCGCCTTCCATCATCAGCTCGAATTCGAAGGACCAGGTATAGAAGTCATTTCCGTCAAATGGTGTTGATGTTTGCAGTGTCAGCACGTGTGCGAATTATGACGGCAACTGAAGTGCATCCAGTGTCTTCGTCTCTTATCCAGGTGGGAGTCGATTCGGCATGAAGCTGACGGAGCCGAGTTGAGGCTCATACGGTGCGAAGGTAGGCTGTTGATTTCCGCGCGCAAAAGATGAGCCGTCGAGACTCATGGGAGTGACTTTGTTGTTGTTGTCGCTGTTGTTTGACTGCGCAGGTGCCGCTTGTTGATGTTGCTCGTAGAAAGGCATGAAGGAGAAGAATTTCTCCATCATGCTTGGGTCGATGCCGGTTGCTTGGTTCGCAGGAGTCTCAGTTGACTTAGGAGCTGGTCTTTGAGTTGTGCCTCCTTCTGTCTGCAGTCCAGAGGCTGGCGGTGGAGTAGGAGTAGTACTGGGAGATCGAGTAGATGAGCTTCTTTCTTTCTGTATTGCCATGTCTTTTGTTGTTGCAGGAAGTTGAACATAGTTGAGTTTTGTCTTGCAGGCTCTCATATCATGTTGGGCTGAAAAGGCCCTTAGGATCGTTTTCAAAACTTAAGTCTTAGAGTAGTAGTGATGTATTTAGCAAATGCGTAATAGTAAACCAATTGAACCACCTTGCACTAGTATGTGAGAACAAGATGAATTGATTATAGCAAAGAGATACAAGGTTTTTATATGATTACAAGGAATACGAAAGGTTTAACTGTAACTGCTGTTGCGGTTCGATACAGCAGCGACTCGGGTAACTGTTAAATAGCGAGTCAGTTATGTGTCCTTGTTGTCGCGCTGCTTTTCGGCGAGTCAAAGGTCGCTGACCTTTGACCTTCGCTTAACCTCTTGCTGTCGTCTTCTTGTCAACCGCTTTGGTTGACTCGCCGTTACTTCGTTGTAGTTCGCTTCACTTTACGTTGTAGTGTTCGGCATTTCAGAAGCGCAAACTAGATGTTTCCAACAGTATGAACATGTGGTGAGGTAGACACGTGACTACTGACAGGCTTAGTGCACCGCAGCATGCGAAGCATGAGGGGGAGCATCAGAGGCGCAGCTCCACATCCACACGCCTGGCAGCATTGCAGGGCGCATGAGAGTCCGTGGGGCTGGGGGGCGGTGCCCCTGTGCTGCTGCCCACAGCATCCGCTCTGCTCCTCACACCGCCTGCACCCTCCCACATGCCCCCTGCCTGCAGGAAAGCAGAGGGGAATGCCATGGATGAGCCAGTGGGCACGGCAGCTGCAGTGAGAGTGGACATCTCAGGGGCGCTGTGAGCTGGGCCATACCGGTACTGCTCTTGCCTGCCTGCCTCCCCCCCTCCATACTCCTCTCTGCTTCCTGCTCCACCTGCTTCCACACCTCCACCTGCTGCTGCCTCCACTCCCTCACCAAACCGCTCCGACCCATTCCCTCCACCTCCCTCCCCAGCAGCACCTGCTGCTGCCTGCTTCTCCTCCACTCCGCCCCCCCCCTGCTGCTCCGCCCTGGCAGCCTCCTGCAGCTGCAGCACGAGGCGCAGCGCCACACACGATAGCGACAGCGCCAGCGCCGCCGTGCTGCTGTTCCCGCCCCGCGCACCCCCCTGGCCCCCTCCCTCAACGCCACTCTCTAAACCCCCGTGGCCCTCCCTCGCGCTCCCACTCTCTTCCAGATTCTCGCACTGGCTGTTGCTGGGTTCCTGGGTGCGGTTTCGGCTGGTAGTGGGTGAGGCGGTGTCTGGGGCGAACGCGGAGGTGACTCCTGGGGCAGGCGCTGTGCTGCTGACGGGGAGGGATGCTGCAATGGAAGCAGGCCGGGAGGGTTGTGGGGGAGGTAAGGAGGCTTTGGTTTGAGGGTAAGGGTGGTAAGGGGGGGTTGAAGCATGGAGAGAAGGGGGAGAAGGGGCTGCGAGAGGGAGACGAGGAATGGTAGAGAGGGCAGGGGGCTGCGAGGCGACAGGAGGTGAGGCGGAGGGGAGAGTTGAGCGCAGGGAGAGCGCAGTGAGAGGACTGCGCGGTGGCGTGCCTTGCTGCTGCTGTTGATGATGTTGCTGCTGCAATTGTTGTTGCTGCTGCTCCTGCAGTTGCTGCTGTTGCTGCCGTTGCTGCTGCTGTTGTTGCTGCAGGTGCTGCTGTTGCAGCTGCTGTTGTTGCTGCTGTTGTTGCTGCTGCTGCTGTTGTTGCTGCTGTTGCCGTTGTTGCTGCTGTTGTTGCTGCAGGTGCTGCTGCTGCTGCAGCCGTTGCTGCTGCTGATGTTGATTCTGCTGGTGCTGCTGTTGCTGCTGCTGTTGCTGTTGTTGCTGCTGCTGTTGCAGCCGTTGCTGCTGCTGTTGCTGCTGCGCTTGCTGCTGCTGTAGCAGTCTCAGCAGCAGCAGCTGGCCATCTCTCTGCAGCCCTTGCCCCACGGGCACCTCCCCTTGCCCCACAGGCACATCATCCGCCACCGCCTCCTCGCCCCTCGCCTCTTGCTTTACCACCACCGTAGCCCCTGTCCCCCACCCTATACCCCCAGCCCCCACTCCCCCAGCCGCCATCCCCCCTTCCCGGGGGCTCTGCTCCGCCAGCAGCTGTCTCCGCAGGGCGGCCAGCTTTGTCTCGGCCTCCGCCTGGGCGGCAGCAGCGCGGGCGCGTGCCTGGGCGGCGGCGGCGCGCTGCTGCTCCAGCTGCTGCTCCAGCTGCCGCACCGCTGCTGCCGCCTCCGCCTCCCGCCTCGTCGCCTCCTCCTGCTGCCGCCGCAGCGCCTCCACCCGCGCTGCCACCGCCGCTTGCGGCGCCGCTGACCCTGGCGGTGCTGAGTGTGGGGCATGCCCCGCATGATCAGGAAAGGTGCCTCGGGTCGTTGCTTCTGCCTCTAGTGGTGCTGGTGGCGCTGCTGCTGCTGCTGCTGCTGGGATGGAGACTGATGCTTCGTGTCGTGTCGGCCTGGGTTGTGCGTGTGCTACCGGCTGTGCTGCCTGAGGTGCATCTGCCACCTGCGTCTGCCGCACCACCCGCGCTGCACACGCTCCCTCTGCTGCCTGACCTGCGCCTGCCACCGCCGCTGCTACCCCCGCATCGTCCTCTTGCCGTCTCATTGCTCCTATGGGGTGTCCATCACCCGTAGGTGCACCCGCTGCTTCTTGTGCTACCTGCTGCTGCTGCTGCTGCTGCTGCTGCTGCTGTGAAGGTGGCCGCTGAATTCTTTGCGCCTGCGGTAGGCACGGCGCCTGCGGTAGGCACGGCACCTGCGGTAGGCTCGGCGGCTGCGGTGGGCTCGGCAGCTGCTGTTGCTGGGTTTGCGTGGCGCGGTGCTGCAGCCATTGCTGCAGCAGAGGCATGGAGCACTCCACGCCAAACGCCTGCCGCGGCCCCACTCGCCCCCCACCCGCCGCTGCCCCACCCCCCTCCGCCGCCCCAATCCGCCCCACCGGTGCTGATGCTGTGCGCCCAAGCGGCCGCGCCCGCCCGTCTGCTGCTTGCCGTTGCGCCAGCCAATCCCGCGCTCCACCCACCCTGCCCACTCCCGGTCCCGGTATTACTGCTGGCATTGCTGCTGGCGCCGCTGCAGCTGCCATGGGTGCGGGCATGTGTGCGGGCATGGGTGCGGGCATGGGTGCGGGCGGCATGGGTGCGGGCAGCATGGGTGCGGGCATGGGTGCGGGCATGGGTGCGGGCAGCATGGGTTCGGGCGGCATGGTTGCGGGCAGAGGGGGCGACACTCCTCGCCTGCCCCGTTTTTCCTCCTCCGACACTCCTGCCGTGTCTCCCTGCCGCCCCTGCTCCTGCCGGCCCTGCTCCTGCCGCCCCTGCTCCTGCCGCCCTTGCTCCTGCCGCCCCTGCTCCTGCCGCCCCTGCTCCTGCCGCCCCTGCTCCCGCCACCCTTGTCCCTGCCCCCCCTGCTGCCCCTCTAGCTCTCCCCCCTGCCGCCATGCCAGGGCCGTCAGCGCACTCCCCATGCGCACTCTGCCTCTCGCGCACCCCACTCCTGGAAGCATCGAGCCGGGTTGTAACGAGGGTTGGCACTGTAAAGCGGCCAGGGCTTGTGGCTGTAACGAGGGCTGGCGCTGTAAGGAGGACATGGCTTGTGGCTGTAACGAGGATATGTCTTGAGAGCGTGAGCCGGTCGGCGTGTGCGAAAGCGCGTGTGGGCGGGAGGGAGGAGGCGTGTGGGGAGTGGGAGTGGGAAGTGCCGGACAATCCAACAGGAGCCGACAGTTGTTGCATCAGAGGGGGCCGCTGCTGCTGCGGGGGCGGCGGCGGCAGTGCTGGCGCCTGTGGTAGCGGCAATGGCGGGGGCGGCGGCGGCTGCTGATAGTACTCCTCTTCCCCCCACTCCCGATCTTCCCCCGTTCTCTCATAATACTCCTCCCCCTCTTCCCCCTCGTCCCCTTCGCCCCCCGTGCCCCCCACGCCCCCCTCGCCCGCCGTCTCCCCCTCCCGGCACAGGCTGAGGCCGAGCGGGGCGGCGGGCGCGTCGTGGTTGTGCGCGCCGGTGGTGGAGACGCGGATGGGGTGCCTGGGGTCCACCTTGTTGTAGTCCACGATGCGTTTCGCCTCGCACGCAGCCGCCGAGTCCGCCGCGTTGCACTTGAAGTAGTGCCTGCCGTCACCAGCACGGGGAGCGGGGAGCGCGCCAGCAGAGCGGAAGGGGAGGGGCAAGAGGGAAGGGCGTTACTAGTAGCTACAAGGTGCGGGATGGGAGGGGGAACGAGGGGGGAAGAGGGGAAGGCAGAACGGCACTGGGATGAGCGATGAGGCACGGCGCCTTTCAAAGGGGACACGTGAAGGCCGTCTTGGGCCGGAAGATGTCAGGAGCGCGCGGGGAATTTGCGGCAAGGGGCATGATGGCAGCGGCATGGCAAAGGTCGTGTGGTGTTATGCGTTAGCGCGCGGTGCGAGCGACAATACCGTCATTCTTTGCGACGAAACCTCGTCGCGCGGCGACGAAACCTCGTCGCGCGGCGACGATACCTCGTCATTGCGTGCGACGATATCCTGTGATTGTGTGTTTCCGTGTTGTGTGCGACGATACCCCGTCGGAGTGCGTGACGTACCCAGCCATGATGGTGTGCGACAGTATCCCGTGATTGTGTGCGTCAAACTTTCGTGATGATTGCATGCGACAATCTCGTGATTGCGTGCGACAATATCCGTAATTGAGCGCGAAGGTACCAGTCATTGTGTGCGACAATTCGCGATCGTGCGACGCACCTCGTCATGGTGCCGCCCGACAGATCCTTCTGGCCGTACTTGAGCCACACGAACCCGTCGCGCGGCAGCCGGCTCTCGAACAGCACCAGCTTGCACCGCTTGCGCGGCCGCCTCCCGTCCGCTCCGCGTTCCGCCAGCCGCCTCGTGCCCCCCGACTTCTTCCCCACCGAAGCTCCTTCTTCCGTCGACCCGTTGCCGTCGCCGGTTCCCGCGCTCGTCCCTGACTTCCCGCCACCCCTAGCTTCGCCGCTGCCTCCGAAACCCGTCGCGGCGCCGCTTTTATCCGCCGCCGCTCCACCGCCAATCGCCGCTCCACCGTTAATCGCCGCTGCACCGCCATTAGCCATCGCACCGCTATTCGACATCGTCATCATTTCTTTAAGCAGGGCGCATCAAGATTCTCCCATTTCACGTCGCCAATTGTTCTCAGGTTTCCCTCGCCTCGCTTTTGAGATCCCACGCGAGAAACGATTTACGAAACAACACAGAAGAACCTTTTCCGACTTTTTGTTTAGAGGATGAGTATGGCGGAGGAGGCCACACAGTGCCCTAGTCCAGAGTCCAGCAGCGAGTCCTGAGTCCAGAGTCCAGACCAGACGGCACCGCGGCTCTTGAAGGGAAGCGATTCAGGGAGGTCCAAGGTCCAGGCGGGGGGAGCGGAGCAGAAGGGAGAGGCGTCGGGGGAGAGGGGGAGGCATCTGGGGAGAGGGGGGGAATTAGAGGACTGGAAACTGGCCCAGCTGGATCACTTTCAAGCAAGAGTGTGTCACATATGAGCCGATCGGCCGTGGATCAACTGGCGAATGTCTTTTGTTTCGAGGATGAACCTGAATTTAAAGTGCTTGAACCCTCCTGGAACAGAGTCGATTGTCGGTTTGAGTTTAATTACCCAATGCACATGTTACGGATGAGAAAACCGAGCTTTGGCATCACAGCACTTCCGACGATATCAGAATGATTCGCAAAACTTCGATTTCAGCTTCCGTCTGTAATTTTAACCTGGAAGTTACACGCCTTGAATGGGGGTGGTGGTGGGAGGGAGGAGGGCGTTTGAGCGAAGTCGGGGGGAGTGCGGAAGGGAAAGGGGAGGGACGTAAATTCGTGGGGTAGGCGCCACGATGAGGGAGGCCAAGCGGGGATAATTAGGAAGGAGAAAGGAAGCAGGACGAACTGTTTTGGGGGACAAAGGTGAAAAAAAACCGCGGGTAGAGAAGGGGAAGTGCGGGCGCAGGGCAAGACGAGGCCCAAGGATGAGCAAGACCAACCACAGAAAGGTAACTTTGCCCATGGAAATCAACGGAAAACCACAGCCCACATGTCCGCCACGTCGGAAGCGCTCCGAAGGGTCAGAGGTTAACCGCCAATTGGAATCTCTCAAACTTTACAATTGTCTGGAATATGCGTAGACTCTGAAGCGGTTTTCCATTAGATTATTTGCCTTATAACATTTTATTTGCCTTATAACATTTCGAGATTCAGGGCACCTCAAAACTCGAAAGACACGAGACCTGGCACCCACATTTCCCGTCCCTCCCCTCACCTCCTCCTCCTCCGCCTCCCGCTTCCCCCCCAACATCCACACAACGCAAAGACCCAAAATGGTCGAAGGAAAAGGTTTGACGAGGACCCAAATGACACGAAGACGACAATTGCTGGTTCAGTTCAGAGAGACCAGTCCCGATCCAGTACAAAGCTGGCAGCTGGGCTGGGCTGGGCTGTGGCTGAGGGTTAAAAAAAAATGTCAACGCTCGGTCTAGTACGAGTGAGATGGATGGAATGGGTTGTCGAGCAAGGAAGTTGAAGGGTGACCCTAAGCCGAGAGTACACATAAATCATTCGTATTGTAATTTATCATGGCTCCAATAAAAAAAAATATTGGAAAGTAGTTGTATAATGGAGTAAAAATGTTGAACTGTGTGCCATCTCCCACGTAATATAGAATTCAATTAGGCTCGTTCGCTTATAACTGGATAACTGCGGCCATATCCGGTCCGTTGGGCTGGGGGATCCCCTAGGATCATTTGAGGGGGTATAGCTTGACTTGTAATGCATCGGAAGTAAACGAATTTTCGAGCTTTTGTAATGAGAACAGGAATTAAGTGATAAATAAAGATACAGGCAAATATAGTGTTCTAACAACCAAGGAATTGGTTGTACATGCTAAGGTGTCGAGTGTTGGGCTGAGAAATGCCTTAAGGATCTTTCAAGGCTAAGATCAAGTGTTGAAGTAGAGATGTTGTAATTGCGGAAGCGTTAATATAAAGGTTGCTTGAACCACCTTGTACCGGTGTGTGAGAACAAGATAAGTTAATAATAGCAAAGAGATACAAGCTTTTTATATGATTACAAAGGAATATGAAAAGTTATACTTTAACTGTTTTTTTGCTGTTGCGGTTCGATACTGTGCCGACTCGGGTAACTGCTCAGTAACGAGTCAGTTATGTGTCCTTGCTGTCGTACTGTACTTTTCGTCAAGTTAAAGGTCAGCGACCTTTTGCCAAACTTATATGCTATAGTCTATCTAGGCTGTAGTGTTGAAGTAGTAGCTAACTTAGGAGCCATGGCTAGTGAGTGTCGAGAGAGTTGAGTGTCGAGGGAGAATGAAAAGGAGGAATGATGGTTTCACTATAGCACACAAGGTACATATAGCAAAATGAACAAAGGTGCACCACCAAACAATAGGAGCTACACTACAGTAAATCCTACAGGCAGTTATATAACAGAACATATAATTATATTTTCTGACATGTAGTGGGGTAGTTCATATAGGGTACAACACTTTTAGGTTTCCTACTTGTACCCACCTGCTTGCTAGTTCAGTCATTCATTCGTTCACTATTCTAACATGGTATTAGAGATTTTTTTTTTCTTGCCCTGCCCGAAGCGCGCCTCGCGCCCTGGCCAAAACGCGCCTCGTGCCCTTCCCTAGTACGGCCCGTCGCGGCCCTCCCTTCGCTGGCCCGTCGCGGCCCTACCTTAGCCGCCCGTCGCTGGCCCATCCCGGCCCGTCCCAACCCGTCGCCGCCCGTCGCTGGCCCGTCGCCACGCGTCGCGGCCCTGCCTTAGCCGCCCACTGCGGCCCTGTCCTCCCCTTTGCCGCCCGTCGCTGGCCAGTCCCGGCCCGACCTGGCCCGTTCCGGCCCGTCGCCGGCCCGTCCCGGCCCGTTGCCGCCCGTCGCCGGCCCGTCGCCGCCCGTCGCTGGCCCATCCCAGTCGCGGCCCTGCCTTCGCCGCCCGTCGCGGCCTCTGCCCTGAAGCCGCCCTATCGCGGCCCTGCACTGCTGCCACCCCAATCGCGGCCCTGCCCTGCAGTCGCCCCTGTCGCGGCCCTGTCCTGCTGCCGTCCCAGTCGCGGCCCTGCCTTAGCCGCCCGTTGCGGCCCTGCCCTACTGCCGCCCCAGTCGCGGCCTCTGCCCTACAGCCGCCCTGTCGCGGCCCTGCCCTTCTGCCGCCCCAGTCGTGGCTCCTCCCTGCAGCCGCCCCTGTCGCGGCCCTGCCCTGCTGCCGCCCCGGTCGCGGCCCTGACCTAAACCGCCAGCTGCGGCCCTGCCTTGCACCCGCCCCTGGTAAGCACGTGCGCTGCCCTGCCGCGCCGCGCCGCCAGGAACCGAGCCGCGCCGCCCTGCCGAGCCGCGCCGCCCTGCCGAGCCGCGCCGCCCAGCCGAGCCGCGCCGCACTACAGAGCCGCGCCGCCCTACCGAGCCGCGCTGCCCTTCTGCTTGCACTGCTTCTGCTGCCACTGCTGCTACTGCTGCTACTGCTGCTACTGCTGCTACTGCTGCTACTGCTGCTAGTGCTACCATGGCTAGCCCTACTGTTCTCACCTTTGATGCTGAGGGGCGTGCGGTTGACTTTGACGTGTGGGTTGACTACCTGCAGCTCCTTCTTTAGTGTGACTCTACGGATGGGGTATCCCTGTTTGATCACACGTCCGGTGTCTCTACTGCACCTGCTGCCACTGCTGACAGTACGGTTCGCTCGCAGTGGACCACTCGTGACGCTGTTGCTCGCCTTGCTGTTCGTAGTCACCTGCCGTCTGCTGAGCGCGCGCATTTTGGCCAGTACAAGATTGCTCAGTCTTTGTACGACGCTGTCGTAGCGCGCTACTCCTCCCCTGCCACTGCTGCCCTCAGCCGCCTCATGCTGCCGTACCCTTTCCCTGACCTTGCCGCCTTTGCCACAGTCACTGACCTCATTACTCACCTCCGCACTAGTGACGCCCGCTACCGCGCTGTGCTTCCCACTGAGTTCTGGGCCAAGAACCCCCCCCCCCCCCCCCATGTACATCACTCTTTACTACCTAGTCACCCGCCTCCCTGACTCCCTTGCTTCAGTCAGGGACCACTTTCTCTCCCTTTGCCCCACCGAGCTCACTATCGACCTGCTAGAGGAGCGCCTTACTGCGGTTGAGAAGAGTATCTTAGCTGTAGGTGCTTCTCGCGGCGACCGTCGCGCCCCTTTCTTTGAGGGGTGTTCCCCTGTCCCCCTTCTCCCCTCTGTTGCTTCTGCTGCTGCTGTCGACCTCGTTGGCACAGAGGAGGTCGGGGCTGCGTCTTCTCCTAGTGAGAGACGCCGCAACAGCAAGGGCAAGGGGGGCAAGGGTGGTGGAGGGGACGGTGGGGGCGGCAGTGGAGGCGGTGGAGGAGGTGGAGGGGGTGGCGGTGGAGGTGGGGGTGGTGGCGGGAGTGGGGGCTTCGGTGGCAGCTGTCAACGGGAGTTGTGTGTTGGCCCCCGTCCTCGCTTGGGCGGAGCCGACTTTGTGGTTGGGTGTACGGGAGGTACAGCCAACTTGCAGCAGTGGGCGACGCCGACTTGGGCGAGCTGGTCGACGGGGTTGGTCGACTTGCACGGGGCCACTGCAATGCCGCCGACTTGGGAAGCCGGCGGACGACTTCAACTGGTGGTCGGTGATATGGCACGTCGACCTGGAAGTCGGCGTCGACTTGCAAGGTCACCGACTTGCAAGGTCGCCGACTTGCAAGGTCACCGACTTGCAAGGTCGCCGACTTGCAAGGTCACCGTGCCAGCGTTGCTCCCGCAGAGAAGCAGCGCACCAGCTTCGCAGGTGCTCGCAGATGATTGGCGTGCTGAGCCTCGTCACCTGCACAACGCACACACCAAGTCATCCTCGTGCTGACGACTCCACCTGATCCGCCACGTCGACCTCGGGATACCACCACCGAGGTCAGTCTCGCCAACATCGCCTGGGCGACCGTCGCACTCTTCTGTAGAACCTTGCTACCCCAAGTAACCACGTCGACCAGGTGCTCCTGTATGTGCCCGTCGACCTCCCAAGTCGACGACCACCTCCATTCAACCTCACCAGGTCGACCACACCCCTGGTCGACCAGGTCCAGGTCGACGTCACTCCTGG